AAAAAAAAAAAGAAAAAAAAAAAAAGAAGGTTTTTATTACAATGGTAAGAGCTAACTCATTTGAAAAATAAAGTCAGAGCTGCAGCATTGCTGAAATACCTATGCAGAAGCTTACTTTATTTAACTGTGTAGACAATTGTGTAGACAACAAATGCAACCCATGAACCTAAAACTAAGGCAGCGGTGCAGCGGTGGAAGGCATAACAACAACCATTGGGCATATCATTGAACAACGGAGTTAAGTAGCAATGAAAATGCAGGGAAATCCCAGAACAGTCACATGACAATCACAATAAGATCCAATTAGAATGGAATGCATTGCCATATTTTCAGGTCCACATTTAAATTGAGAAGAAATTCACCAATAAGCAATGCCATGACTTGCATAGACTTACAGAATCATGCAAAGAAAAGCTAACAAATACTCATAGCTAGAATAGTTGCATGAAAGAGGCAAGCTACTTACATTATGCTGCCCAAGAATGTATTGAAACTCAAGCCATTTAAGGCACTATGATACAAAAGTTTCCATTCCTCTAGCTCTTGCTTGGAAAGAGCTCCTCCTATATGCCAAGCGTACTCCTTTCTCAGTAACAACATACTAGAATCAATACTGTCTAAAAAGCAGCAATTTGGGAACTTGAGATCCAGGTCGCCCTACAGAAAGCCCCAACTGTGTTCAGTATTTGGTCCAGAAATTAAGTTGGGTTCATTAAAACTATTATTATATGTGCTTGCTTACAACGTAACAACTGTCAAGTGAATTTTCAGTACAAAAGTTCATTAAGTTATAACATATGGAGAAAAATAAGTTTCCTTAATGAATCAGGATTGACCAAATTAAGCTTGAATGCAGAAAATCAAATTTAAAAAAAAAGAAAAAAAAAAAGAAGCAAAATAGAACTATTTACACCTGCTGAGATTTGTCAGACTAGGATGTGATTAAACAAAAATCCAAAACTCAAAATTTCCAACAATGTGAAACAAAATTTTACATAAAGAAGTGCTATCATCAAAGGCAAACTTAGAAGCTCAATGATCCAGTATTTTAAATTTTTCAGGTCATTACCACTGCTACTCTGCTACTAAATTTTGTTTAAGTGCATTATCTATTCCATCATTACAGGAACAATCCTTTTGAATGCAACTCCTCCAAACAAGAAAACTCAAGCGGCACCATATCTATGGTGATATTGTTTATGCTAAACTAAAAGTAACTAATGTGCTACAGCTATTTACCATAATTCAGTTTACGATCTCTTGTAAAGTAATGCCAAAATTTGAAATGGTAAAACATAATTGAATCCATGAATAAAGGGAGAAGCATAAAGAACCTGAATCAGGTGGAATCAGTAGACTTCCTAGAAACTTTCTCAGAGATGGAATAAGTGTACACCACTTTCTGAAATCTTCAAAAGACATACTTTTATCATTGCATCTTTCATTGCCCCTTGAGAAGGTAGCAGAATTAAGAAATATGTCCACCATGTCCCCTTGTGAACTTGATCCAGGTTCAGAACCTTTCACATTGAATATATCATCAAATATTGTAACTAGAACAGATTCTATGTCAGACCTGATATCAAGAAATAAAAACAGTAAGTGAGAATAACTAAAAGTTTTCTAAAAAAAACAAAAAACCAAGAACTTCTAAGGTTGTACACGAATTTGTTAGCAGGGTAATTGATAAACATAACAAATATTCCACCACCCAACTGCATCTCAGGAACTGAATCCTTTTTTTCTCCTCATATAACATTTATTTAACCTTTTAATTCATAACAATGGCTTTTTACAATTCCTTTTCATTAATTCAACAGAAAAGGAGCAATCTTGCATGCAAAGTCAACATAGAGCGATTGTGCAAGGGACAAAATTAACAGCAAAGATGACAGCTATTTTAAAGGACCCAACAACACCAAAGCCTATGTATATTAAGTGATTACTCTCATACCTCCCCAAAGCACCATCACCTGTGACATCAGATAATTGATATACAAACTCCTCAATCTTATCATTTGTTCCTTTCTCATAAGTCCCCTGCAATATGCAAAAAGAAGCAAATGCACCAACTGGGTGTCACCACGAGAGTCATAACAAGTAACAACCATTAACATTTACAAACTGCACATGATATATTTGCATTTCTATGAATCACTAATACACCAGAGTCGAATCCACACAAACCAAATCGAAAAGAAACATTACCTTAGCAATTACGAGGTCTTCAAAGGTCAATTTCTGGTCTTTCCTTTGCTGCGTAACCAAATCAAAAAGCCTTTCCCCAAGAGCCCCTTTTAGTCCAAAGTATGCCTGGACCCAAATCATAGTGAAACGAAAAAGCATCAATGGACGCAATTAGAATGAAAAAAAGAAGAAGAAATCAAATGGGTCACTGAAAACGAACCTGAAAGACAGAGGGAGATATGTATCGACCGTCGCTCTGTGACTGGGCAGCCATGGACAAGAACAGTGCTCTGAGATCTCTTATTTCCTTCTGCGTAAAAGCTCTAATTAACTCCGCTAGAACTGACTACATAGACTACGGAAAGTGGAGAAAGTAGAGATAGAGAGGAATTATTCAGAGAGAAACCTGGATGCCGAAGCGAAGCTAGGATTCGCCGGAGGTGACTTAGTGTTACCCATTGGACACTGCTTTTCTTTCTCCGATCTTTCTCTAATAATTTCCCGGTTTCAGTTCTTTCCGTTGGCACTCTTCCCCGTATGTATGAAGTAAAATCATTGCTAAGTCCTCAAACTTATCTCATTTTAGAGAAAAGGCCTTAAAAATAAAATAAGATCAGCCCCTACACTGCACGATTCTTGCAAATTAGTCCATAAACTAACAGGCGATAAACTTCCCCTTTTTTATTTTTTGAGAATGGTGTTTTTCGGGATTGCAAAAAATTCACTTCCTTCTACCAAAAAAAAAGAAAAATTCTTTTGCAATTATGAAAGTATCAAAAATATTATTCAATAAGGATATTTAAATGCATTTTATTTTTTTTGCCAAACTTCATAATTGAAAAAAAAAATTCCTCAAATTAATTACTATAAAAATTTCATGAAAAAATGAATTTTCAAATCATTACTCAAAATGAAATTTTATAAATACCTAAAAAAAGCTTAAATATATTTATAGTATTTTTAGTTTGAGGGATGGAGAGAAAAGAGTCCATTATTATAATTTATTAAATTATTTTGTTAATTTAAATAATTTAGGTTTTGTTTAGTACGTTTATGATTTTAAATTGTAATTTTTTATTTTTAATTAAAAATATTAAAATAAAATTAAATAATTTTATAAATTAATTCAATTGAGAGTTTTAAATATTTATTTTAAAATTTTATAACCAATAATCTATTATTTTTAATCTGTAATTATTAATTTTAATTATTTAAATTTTAATTAGTCTAAATAAGGTCATCCCATCACTTCTCTCCTCTCCTCATCATTTTTTTTTTTTGTAAATCTACGGTCAGAAACACTTTTCTACACTTTATTGTCATTTGGTTAAATATTTAATTTGGTTTTTAAACTATAATATGAACTTTTGATTTGGTCCATAAACTAAAAAAATCCTTAATTTAATCCTTAAACTATTGTATGGATTCTGATTTAATCTCTATTATTTATCAATTTACTCCAAGTTAGTCTTTTTTGTACAAAAAACAATTGACGTATTTCGTTATTAATATGATATACGACCATTAAGTAATTATTTTTCATCATTAAATAACAAATACGTTAGTTTTTTTTTTTTATGAAAAGATCAACTTGAAACTAAATTAGTAAATAGTAGATTAAATTGGGGTTCATACAATAGTTTAGGGATTAAATTAAAAACTTTTTTAGTTTAAGATCAAATTGAAAGTCCATGCAATAGTTTAAGACCCCAATTAGAGTTTAACCTTGTTTGTTTTCCTATTTTTGACATAAAAAACAAAGTACTAATTAGTTAATAAATGAATCTAATTATCTTTCCATTAGTAACGCTATTATAAGGCCGAAGATATATATGCCCCTTCGTTGATCCAATGAGACTCTTAAATGAGAGCTGTGTCGTGTGTCTACAATGGCGAGACCATGGGTGCTGGTCGTCCTTCTCCTGTTAATTGTATTCACATCGTAGTTCGAGTGGAAGCAGCAATTAGGGAACGAAATTGAGGCGAGCCCCAACAATTCGCTCAAAGATCACTACGCTTCGCAACACCAAGAATCTGTAAAAGAAAAGGTACGTTTCCAAGCACCATATCTTCAGCTTTGCTTCCGATTCTGCACAATTTTTTTTTTCCAATTGATTGTCAATTGGTGAAACCCTTTATGCAATTTCTCTGGGTCAGAGATTTCGCTTTTAGGATGACTGTCTGTTAAAGTCGACAAGTTTGAGGACTAGGTTGCTTTGAACTGACTGAAAGGTTAATTGGGTGGTAAACTGTTATTTAGGAGAGACTTTCAAGATTTGGGTTTGTGCCAGTTTTTTTCCTTTTCTTCATTTCGTTAACGGGTTGGTGCTGGCTCAATCCAATGCTGCATGGTCTCTCAGGGAAAATACGTTGTTTTAGTCTGTAATACTAGCTTTACCAAAGCACCGGACTTGTGTCATTGTTTTCTGGTTCAAGGAATTTTGAGATGAAGATTCTGCCACTACCATGTTGTTGAGTACTAAGAAGAGCTATGTTGTTTAGATGATGTTTACTTCTGCATTGCCACACGATATGATATCTTTATGCTTAAGAAATTCAAAATTAGAGATAAAAGAGATTCTGGTTTTTTTGTTTTTTTTTGGGGGGAGCATTTAAAATTTTTAGTTTTGGTTCTTTGTAAACAACTCAAGACTGTCTAGCTTCAAAAACTTCCCAACAAGGAAAAGATGACCAGGGGAAAACACAGTTTAGAAAATTTTATACTCAGTCTAAAACATACTCTAGAGTTTTCCAAAAAGAGATGAAATCACCTTGCCAGGAATGCGGCATGGATTTAAGAGTTTATTGGCTATTTTGCTGATGAAATGATGGAATAATCATCCTAGAAAACAGTGTATAAGTATCATTTCAGCATGTTTGGTTATGCTTATATATAGTCGAGTTTGATGTGGACTACATTCACATTCTAAAGAGTTCATCTGTAAAACTAGCAGCTTCTTTCTTGGCCAAAGTTGATTAGATCTTCGTATTGCTATATCTTGTCCCAGGAAGGATTATTTTTATTTATGGAGTCCTAAGAAGGATTAGCGTAGTGAAGTTTTCTTGATTCTAGAGCTTATGAATAGCATCTGGTATTTTTGCCTGTTCTCTTTCCATTTTTGAATAATGTTAGTATTCCATTCAAGTGAGTCCTTAAAATGTGCTCAGAGATATGATATACTGTGATTTGAAATATGACCTGAGCAAGTGCATGGGTAGCCTAAGATGCTTATTGTATAACCCTAGCAATTGTATAACCTAAGATGCTTATTGTATAACCCTAGCAATTGTATAACCTAAGATGCTAATTGTAAAACCCTAGCGATTGTGCCTATCCCCTTTCTCTGCAAGTGGGCCCTTAAAATCAAGATTATGAAAATTGTCTTTGATTACATTGCCTGAACTCAGAAGTTTCTTTCTTTATTCAATACCTCTTCAATTTATTTATTAAAAAATCATTATTTTTGGTTTGAAATTAAAAATAAACAAACTTAACAATGCAATCATGTATACATAATGTAAAAACTGATTAAATTGCTATAATTATATTATATTTTAATATTTAAATCAAAACTAATACTAGAAAGCATATCAAACTAAATATGTACAAATCATTTTTCAAAAATAATAATAATAATAATAAAGGCCTCGTTTGTGTGTGTCATTTCGCAATCATTTAGATATTAATATTTGTAATGAAGAGGCAATTTTTTTTTTTTATTTGAAGTTTTGAAAGATGCAATTCAGTGTTTCGTAAATATCAATTTTACCATGTGCTGCATTGTGCATTCATAACTT